CATCGTGCAGGGCACTGACGCCCCAGTCACAAGGGAGGCCCCCAGGGTCCCTCCCCACCCAGGAGACCATTCTCTTGTTGAGGGCTCTGTTCCTGGCACCCCCCCCCCAGCCCTGGGAGGCCAGATCCTGCAAAGTTGGCAGCACCACTGGGCACATCTGTTTTTGGGAGGGAAGGCGCCATGGGCAGCAGCTCTAGAGACTGCCAGACGAGCCGCCTCTCTCCCCAGCACAGGTCTCCATTTGTTCCATCTGCTGCACACTCCAAATCAGGGGGAAAGGGACAGGACAAGGGCTTCTGGCTACACTGGGGAGAGCCAGGACAGAGGGGCCCCCGTGCAAGCCCAGTCTGAGTGTCCCGTTTTGTCCTTGTGTCCCCGTACACCGCCCCTTCCCCCCGCACCCCAGAACCGTAACCCTTGTTGGTACTGGTACGGGTCGCTAAGTTCTTAGCTCAGTGCTTTGCCAGAGGCTCATGAGTGAATTAACGAGGCAATCAATCAATTATTAAGGAATCGATGGATTAATTAAGCCCTTATACTGGATGGATGACAAGCAGCTAAAACTGGTCCAGGACTGGTTCAACTACCAAGTGAATTGAGATCATCGTAACTTAAAGAAGCCAAGCTTCATAAATTTCGTGTTCAGATTTGAGGAAAATGTACATGCGAAAGAAGTGCCCTCTCCTCGCCACTGAGCACGTGACTCCGGGAGGCAAGCAACCATGAGGAGAGGTGGGCACCGTGGCACGTGGGGCTACACTGCCGCTGGGGCACCAGCACCCCAGATCCAAGTGCCTGCCTCCACTTCCAATCCAGCTTCCAGCTAATGCATCTTTGGCGGCAGCACATGACGGCTCAAACACTTGGATTCACACACCCAGATGGGTGACGCGGGTGCAGTTTCTGGCTCCTAGCTCCAGTCTGGCCCAGCCCAAGCTGTTGCAGTCATTTGTGGATTGAATGAGCACATGAAATAATCTCTCTCTCTCTCTCTCTCTCCCCCCCCCCCACCTCTCCTATCTCTGGCATTGCTGCCATTCAAATAAAAAAGACGTGTTTAGAAGATCGATCAGGACCAGTCGTCTGGCCTAGCAGTAACCGAGCTGACTGGCACCTGCCTCCCAGATTAGAGTGCCGGGGTTCAAGTCTTGGCTCTGCTCCTGATTCCAGCTTTTGCTAATGCACACCCTGGGAGAGAGCAGGTGATGCCTGCATCCAGGGTGACATGTCTGTAAGACGCATTAAACCGCAGTGAAGGGGCTGGCGCTGTGGCATAGTGGATAAAGCCAGGGCCTGCAGTGCTGACATCCCATGTGGGCTCCAGTTCAAGTCCTGGCTGCTCCACTTCCGATCCAGCTCCCTGCTACTGTTCCTGGGAGAGCAGTGAAGGATAGCCCAAGTCCTTAGGCCTCTGCAGCCACATGGGAGACCTGGAGTAAGCTCCTGGCTCCTGGCTTCGGATCAGCACAGCTCCAGCCATTACAGCCATTTGGGGAGTGAACCAGCAGATGGAAGACCTCTCTCTCTCTCTCTCTCTCTCTCTTTTTGTCCCTCTCTCTCTCCTCTCTCTGTCTTTCCCTCTGCCTCTCTGTAACTTGGCCTTTCATATAAATAAATAAATCTTTATTTTTAAAAAACTCAGTGAATCAGGGCACCCTCGTGCCCCCACCTAGGAGACCCCAACCATTGCCAGAGCTCATGGCTTCTGAGCCAGGCTTTGCATTGCTTCCATTTTTTTTTTTCTTTGAAAAGCAGAGAAGGAGGTTTTTGTCTACTAGTTGACTCCAGACCTCTGCCAGGCCAAAGCTGGAAGCCCAGGACACGTGGGTGGCAGGAGCCCCCAAGAGTTCAGCCGTCACCTGCCGCCTCCCAGGGTGCACATTAGCAGGAAGTGGACTCATGAGTACAGCTGGGACTCGAACCCAGGCCCTCTAAGGTGGGGCACAGGCATCCGAAGCAGCACCTTAACCACAGCACCAAATGCCCGCTGTGTTGTTCCTTGGGGGGTGGGAGGGGTGGGAATGATCCTGGAGAAGAATATTTGAGAAACAAAGCAGTAGCCCACACGGTTGCTGGCCGGTCCCAGGTCTGGGACCTCCCCAGCAGACGAGGAAGGAGTGGAAGGCCACTGACACGTTTCTCGAGAGGGAGAGGGACAGGTGGCAGAAAGACGCCCCTTAGCAGGACTCGGCCGTGAGGCAGGGTGGAGGCAGGCTGTGCAGCGAACTGCCAGGGTGAGGGCCCGGCCCGACAGATACTTTGAGAAAACAGAATCAGCTTATTGATCTCAGCCCAGAGCCTGGATTAGCTGAAGGTATTAACCGAGGCCTCTACTTTCCTTTTGGAGAAAACAGTGAGTCATTGGCTCGCACTGGCCTCGAATCAGAGATGCACACGGTGCAGGAGCCAGGAGGCTGGGCAGCCCGCCCCCGACCCGGAGGCACACACTCGCCTGGCCTCTCCTCCCCCCACCTCCCAGGTTCCCCGTGGGAGGCGATTCATCAAATCTCCTGGCGTGCCCGGGCCAGCCAGGCACCACCCTGACCCCAGAAAGGGTTCGTAGATCTGCCTTCAGTGCCTTCCACTCTGTGCAGTGAGCACCTGACTTCTCTTCCTGAGATCAGTGCAATTGGGGTGCCAGGGGCCCCGCTGGCCCACCCACCACCCCCACGGCCCCCACACCTCTCTGTGTCCAAAGCCCCTTTTATCACGCACACAAAACTGCACTGTGTTGGAATTCATAGCTTTTTTTTAAGATTTATTTATTTGAAAGGCAGAGTTGCAAAGAGAGAGGTCTCCTATCCACTGGTTCACTCCCCAGATGGTTTCAACAGCCGGGGCTGAGCAGATCCGAAGTCAGGAACCAAGAGCTTGTTCTGGGTCTCCCATGCAGGTGCAAGGGCCCAAGCACTTGGGCCATCTTCTGCTGCTTTCCCAGGCCATAGCAGAGAGCTGGATCGGAAGTGGAACAGCCAGGACTCGAACCGACACCCATATGGGATGCTGGCACTGCAGGCAGTGGCTTTACCCGCTACACCACAGTGCCACCCCCCTGCCCTGCACCAGCCTGTGGCCCTGTGTGGGGATGGACTGAACCAAAACAAACCTGCTCTTGCCTGGCCTCCCAGAGGAACGTGCACAAAGTGCCCCAGCTTCTCCATGGCAACCCTCCCAATACTAAAAACTGCTACTGAGGACAGGTGTTTGGCACAGAGGAGGAGACATCAGCTCAGAAGCCTGCATCCCGTACCACAGGGCCTGGTTCTAGTCCCTCCCCCCTTGGGAGGCAGCAGGCCGTGGCTCCAGTGGCTGAGTCCCTGTCACTTCTGGGATCCTGGCTTCAGTCTGGTGCAGCCCCTACTGTTGCAAACATTTGGAGAGTGAGCTAGTGGATGGAGATTCTCTCTCTTTCTCTCTCTCTCTCTTTCAAATAAACGAATACATTAAAAACAAACAAACAAATAAAAAAAGCCAGAAGCTGGCCCGTTCGTGAATACACGGTACTCCTTTCAATGCAGGTTAAGATTCTGTCCCTTCCATCACTGCTGGATCACATCCGTCCAGCTTGCATACCAGGCAGTCCTAAGTTCGAATCCTGCTTGTGCCTCTGCAATGGGCACGTGAATAAAACTCTCCAAGACTAAGCTACCCACACTGTAAAATAGAACTTGTCCTAGATTATTCCTCCGGAACTCTGGGGAGACTTGAATGACGTAGCGCTAGGACATTAGCTGTCCCCTATGGCACCTGCTGCCTGACCTGGCCGTGAGGCCCACGACATGCACCAGACCTGGCGGTGCCACTCCTAGGTTCCCCTTGCTCAGGGGCTCTCCCCACAGTCTGCAACCCCCTCTGCCTCCAACCCTCACCCCCCCACCCCAGAAACTCACAGAAGCAACCAGGTCAGCATTTTCCCAGGGGAGGGGTGCCGCTGTGGGGAGAAGTCACAGCTGCCTGCCCGAAGACTTCCTGTTCTGTCACCCTGAGGGCAGGGCATCGAGCCCAGGCCATCGAGACAATGGGGAGATTAGCGCTGGGCTTGCCCAGCACAAGGACAAGCCACCAGGCCCACAGAGGCCCTGCAGGAGGTCCCTGCCCTGAAGATTAACCCTTGGCTGCTCTGCCCTGCCTCCCTCAGGGGCAGGGCAGCCCTGAGCTGGCCCCAAGGTCCCCCGGGGGCAGAGACCAGCCTCCAACAGACAGGACACGCACCCCAGGAGGCCCTTGCCGGCTCTGTGCTGAAGACACTGGAGTCTTCGCGAGCTCCCGCAGACAAGGGGTGGCTGCAGGCTTGTGGGGGCTTCTTTGTCTTTGAGGGTGAGCATTAGGCAGCTATGCAGTGTCTCTCTGGTGAACAAGAGACTGGGCAGCTCTGGGCATCTTGGAATTGGCTCAGGTTAGAAACAAGGCACCCTCCACGGTCATGGTCGCAGCAGACCCTGCCTCTCTCCAGCCTCCTCCCCTTCTGCATGGCACCAGCCACCATCCCCAGAGCTGGTCCCGATCTGGCCAACGTCCCCACTGCCACCAGCCCCTCGAAGGCCTGCCTCACCCCTACCATTCTCCCCATTCAGGCACCCCGCAGGCACCCCAAGGAGGTGGGGAAGGGAGCTGAGCGTGAAGTTCAAGAATGCCCTGCTCCACCCACCAGCCAGACCGTACTGACTCCAGGAACAAGTTCCTGTAAGCCTGGCTGGCCCCATGGGACTGAGCACCCTCCATGGCCTCTCCCCTGGAGTCAGCCAAGAGGCCTCCTGACCTCTCTGTGGCTATGAAGGTCTTTCCCTTGGAGCCCACTCCTGGAGTGGGGCTGTGAGTGAGTGGCGGGGGTCTGCTGGGTCCCCACACCTGCCCTGGAGGCAGGCCTGGGGCTCCTGCACTGCACTTCAAGCAAGGAGACCTGAGAACTGGTAGGTGACCTTGACCTTGACCTGTACAGACAGGTGCTTCAGATCCACCAGCCTTCTCCCCAGGGAACAAAGACAATGGCTCTGAGTGAATGAATGACAAAAGCATTTTATTGCGGATTTGCCTGAAGGGGGGTGGAGGGGCAGGGAAGAGGGACACCGAGTGGTTCTTGTCCCAGCCTTGTGATGGAGAACACCTGTGGTTCTGATGCAGCTGGCGGATGGTGTTGAACTGGGAAGGGCCATGCAGGACCCTGCTAGTTCAGGAGATGAAGGTCACAGCCATTGTCTCCTCTGTCCATGGGAGCTGAAAGGTCAGCCGACACCCTTCCCATTCCAGGTGGGTCCCAGTGGAGAAGAGGCCACGGAGCTCCAAGAAGGCAGGGTCCGCGGCCAGCAGAGATGACAGAGCCAAGAGGAGAGGGAGCCCCGAGGGGCAGGTGGAAGCCAGGTGAGGGAAGCATGGAGACCCGCGGCCGGACCGGGCTCAGGAGGCTACGGGGGCCTCGCCTCCCCTACCGCTGGGATCTCTTGGTCAGGGTGGTGGTGGAGATAATCTTGCCACTGGAACCACCGCCGACACCACAGCCGACGCCAAACCCAAAGCCACTTCCGGAGCCGGAGCCAAACCCACCACCCAGGCTGAATCCTCCTCCGCCGATGGCTCCCACACTGGCGCCACCACCAACCACGGCTGCAAGAGAGAGGCAGGGGACACAGTCGGTACTTCCTACCATGCCGGCAACCCAGAATCCCAGCCCAGACCCGCATGAAGGAGGGGCCATGGCAGGGGCTGGGGGTACTTACAGATGCTCACGGCATTCTGATATTCTCCGGACATTCTGTGGGGGAGGAAAGAACAAGAAGTGAGCCAGCGAGGCTGGAGCCAGCTTCCTCACAGCCATCCATCCCATGGGAGCCCGGCCAGGTCCCTCATTCCCCCAGGGCTGCAGAGGCTCCGGCTCCTGCTTCCCCGGCTGCCTTCCCCTCCGCACCTGCTCTCCTCGCCCTCCAGCAGCTTGCGGTAGGTGGCGATCTCGATGTCCAGCGCCAGCTTCACACTCATGAGCTCCTGGTACTCGCGCAGCATCCGGGCCAGCTCCTCCTTGGCCTGCTGCAGGGCGGCCTCCAGCTCTGTGCGCTTGCTGTAGGCATCTTTGAGGGCCAGCTCCCCTCGCTGCTCGGCGTCGGCCACAGACGCCTGCAGAGTCTGGCACTGTGGACAAGGGCGATGGGCAGGATGTCGGGATTCCGTCTGTCCTTTTCCCCGCCCACCAATGCCCCGCCCCCGCCCCCAGACTGAGCTGATGAAGATGAGCACCAGGGAAGAAGAGGCAAGAAGCCTGCCTCCTGGGGCGCTGTGTTGTGCTGGCTGCCTAGGATGTGGCTGGGACGCTGCAGAGCTGGCCCCCTGCTCCGGAGACAGGCACAGGCTGTCCCAGCCGGAAGCTCCCTATGCCCCTGGGAGGGGTGACACACACCTGCTTTTTCACATTCTCGATCTCGGCACGCAACCTCTGGATCATCCGGTTGAGCTCTGCGATCTCGCTCTTGGTGGTCTTCAGGTTGTCACCGTACTGGTCGACTGAGGTCTGGAGCTGCTGGACCTAATACCCAGGAGCCACAGGGAACCGGGGGTCAGGGGCATTTGGGTAGGGCTGCTGGCAGCTCCACTGGCATGAAACAACCAAGGCATCCCAAATCAGAGCAGGGCCAACAGCACTCACCTCCGCCTGTTTTCAGCCCTGAGCTGACCATCGCCATCCACCAGAGCCCCAGAGCCACCCCCAGCAGCACCCACCTTGATCTGGTACAGCGCCTCAGCCTCGGCCTTGCTCTTCTGGGCGATCTCCTCATACTGGGCGCGCACCTCGGCGATGATGCTGTCCAGGTCCAGGTTACGGTTGTTGTCCATGGACAGCACCACGGACGTGTCGGAGACGTGGGTCTGCATCTGGGACAGCTCCTGTGGGGAGACCTCGCACATCAGCCCCCCTCCATATAAGAGAGTCTTCCCTGACTGCTGTTGTCATGGAAACAGCCACGCTACAGGCTCAGATGGAAGCAGGGTCAGCATTCCCAGCCCAGAGGGAGGGGGACAGGGTAAATTCCTCCTTAGAATCTCAGGACAGAGAAACAGTGCTGCACCCCAAAAGCCATGAGCACCTCCACATCTACCAAAGGAGATAATGCCGTATGTTGGACAGAAGGCACCCATTTCATCAGGAAATGCTAGGCTGCGGGGAATCCCCGCCAGCTCTGCTCAGACAACACCTGGCTCTGCAGCTCTGTGGGGGCTGACCCTCTCCCTTCACCCCAACCCGCTCTGTCCCCAGGGGCTCGCTCAGCTCCCTCTGCCCGGAAGCAAGGGAGTGTGGCTCCTTTTTGCAAGAACTTGGAGCCCCAAGCAGCTGCCTCGTGGATGGAGGTCTCGCCGTCCAGGGGTGCGGGGGGCCCGGGGTCCTCACCGCATCGTACAGGACCCTCAGGAAGTTGATCTCGTCGTTCAAGGCGTCCACCTTGGCCTCCAGCTCCACCTTGTTCATGTAGGCAGCGTCCACGTCCTGGGGAGCAGGGAGGAAAGACAGGAGGCAAGAGTTAAAGGCACTCTGCAATGTTTAGAGGAAGACCACACAGCACCAGGGCAGGGGGTGCAGGATGAGCCACCCAGACAGGCTTTCCTGCCACCTGAGTCCTTGAGCTTAGACAGCAGCAGGTAAGGTGAAAATTCGGCTGAGCTGGACCACACTGTGACCCGAGGCGCTGGGCGGGGGCCCCGCGAGCACCACCCTCCCGCCCTCCACCTCTCACCTTCTTGAGGACCACGAAGTCGTTCTCAGCAGCTGTGCGTTTGTTGATCTCATCCTCATACCTGGGGGAGGGGACAGGGAGGAAAAGCGGGGGGCAGGTACACAGTGAGTGAGTATACCCCAGATCATCACTGCTTGCTTGCAAACACCCCACGCTTTGGAAATATCCCGAAAAGTAGCTACCTGTCCTGTGTTTCCGAGTGACCCTGTGTGTGAGGTCACAGCCTAGACCCCAGCTGCTAGAGGCCCCCAGCCACCCATTTGCAAGAGGCAGGGGAGGTATGAGAGGCGGCTGCAGCCACGGCTCGGCTGGTGCTAGTTCCTGTCAGCCCGTGTGGCAAGTGGAATGCTCTGGGAAGCTGCCACACTCCAGGTCCCTTTGTTTGGTGGTGAATGCATTTGAGGGCACAGTTGATGTTCATTTTCTCAGGGCCGTCCCAGCAGGAGCCTAACAGCCTCTGTGTGTTCCCTGTCTGGCCCTTGGCTACCTGCTTTCCCTACCTCATTCAACTTCACTCTCAACCTATAAACAGGGTAGACTACCACCCCATGCTTAAAGAAGCGTTCAGCTGCAGCTCGGAGAGGCGGGGCATCTGACTCAAGGTCACTCAGCTGGGAAACTAGGAAGCCCCTTGCAAACCAGCTCCATCGGTCTCTCAGCCTGCCTTCCCCAGACCACACTGCCCTGTTTCGGATGACTTTGGCCTCTGATCTTGCTGCAGGTGGCAAACCCAGCCCCCTGCTCTGAGACGGAGTTTTCACTTGGGGGCAACTTGTCACCATTTGCAGTCCTCCCTCTCTGCCAATGTCAGGAAAGAGGCAGGGACACCCTCCCTCCCCTGCCTCCGGGCCCCTGGAATCTCTCCAGAGCCCGATAGCCAGAGACTGTGGGGAGCATGGCGGCTGCTCATCCTTCCTCCCACGTACTTGGTCTTGAAGTCCTCCACGCTGTCTTGCATGGTCTTCAGCTCAGACTGCAGGCGGCCTTTGTCACTGCCCAAGGTGTCCAGCTGCTTCCTCAGGGCGCTGAGGTAGGCCTCAAAGTAGGGCTCGAGGTTCTTGGGGGACGTGCTGGTCGTTTGCTGTTGCAGGAGGTTCCATTTGGTCTCCAGCACCTTGTTCTGTTGCTCCAGGAACCGCACCTGCGTTCCAAAGACACAGCCGCCTGCTGAGTGGTCGAGGCTTTGGCAGACGGGTCGCCCCAGCCAGCACCAACCCCCATCAACTCAGAGCAGCCAAGAAGCCCCAGGGACACCCACGTAGGGCCACCAGGTTGCTACTCCCTACCACACTACTAACATCAGCAGCAAATGGGCCACGTGGGTGGAGGAGCACAGAGCACTTACAGACCCAGGGGGCCTCCCAGTGCAGCAAGAAACAATGTAACCAAGCGGTCCAAAGATCCTGAGCTGAGTTATTAGAGAATCACTTTGGATTTCCTTGGAGTAACAGAATAGAATAGAATAAAGACATTCAACTGCCGTCTGGAGGCTCTGGCATTCAAAGCAACCCTGACCCAAGGCAAAGGAAAGCTGAAGTCACTAAACATTTCCTAAATTTTATTTGAAAAGCAAAGAGACACAGAGAGAGAGAGAGAGAGAGAGAGAGAGAGAGAGTTCCCATCCACTGATTTTTCTCCCCTACCCCCACCCCCCACAAATGCCTGCAATAACCAGGACTGGGCCAGGCCAAAGCCAGGGGGTGTAGGAATGCCATCGGGGTCTCCTACATGGGTGACAGGGGACTCAAGTCCTTGAGTCATCACTGCCTCCCAGAGTGCACATTTGCCGGAAGCTGGGTCAGAAGCAGAGCTGGGAACCCAGGTCCTCAGCACGGGGAGCAGGTGTCCTAAGCAGTGTCCTAAAAGCTATGCCCAACTCCGGCCCCCTCCCCCACTAAGGATTTTTTAAACAAGCTGACTTAACAGCTGGGCACCTCTGGGTGTAGCTGCTGGGAGCAAGGCCCATCCACACTGAATCTTCTCTCTGCCCTGGATGGTTCCTGAGCTTGCCCTGCCTCCGTGAAAAAGAAACCTAGCAAGATGAACGGAGGTAGAGGCTTCACGTGGTGTCCCCGTCTCGTATGCACAGAGCCGAAAGGAATGCCACGAAGGGAGACTGAGCACATTTTGTACCCACACAGTGAGACGAGACGAGAAGAACCCCTTGAGGTCCTCCTGTCATCCCCGTGTGTCCCACACTCACTCTCAAGCCTCCCTGAGCTCCTAGGGACTTAGGCAACCAGCAAGTGGAGCAGATCCGCCCAGGCACGCTCCTCTGGCCTCAAGAGAGCTAAGACGTTGAGGCTTGGTGACCCAGGCCAGCCTGGACCGTAGTGCAGTACCTGTCCACCCGGGCATCAATCTTTGGCTGACTCAGCCCTCTGGGGCCGGTCCTGCTCGCTCCTCCTGTCCATCACTCTTGGCTGTGTCTGAGCTTAGACCTGTATCTCAGCTCTAGACCCAGCAGGAAGCTGGGCCACAAAAAATAAAAAAGAGGGCTCCACTCCTCTCCAACAGACCCAGACTTGAGCAGTTTTGCCCAGAGCCCGGGGGACGAGAAGAGGTAACCTCCCCAGGTCCTGTGGAGACATAGGATCCGATCTGCCATCAGGGTCAGCCCCCTGTTCATGTGCAAAGCCAGTCTGGTTTTCTTGTGCACCAAGAACACAAGTGCCCAGCCCCAAATTTACCCACGAAGCGAACTGTGCAATGGCCAAAACCGAAATCTGAGAGCAAAGTGAGCAGAGAACCCATTTTACGGCTGGGTTTACAGTTTTTCCTGGGGGACCAGGAAAGCCGAGTGATGGGCCCAGTGCCACACAGCTCCTCCAGGGAGCTGCAGACGCCCACTGTTTGGAGCGTCGGCCCTTCCTACCAACCACGGCACAAAGAAAAGGACTCGGAGCAGTGATGCACCTGCAAGGGCTGGAAACAGAGGCCCACATAACTGCTTTTCCGGAGGCTTGCAGGCAGGCTCGGAACCTGCTGGCTGGCCCAGGACCCCTCTCACCTTGTCGATGAAGGAGGCGAACTTGTTGTTGAGGGTCTTGATCTGCTCCCGCTCCTCAGTCCGGACTTTCTGGATCTCGGGGTCGATCTCCACTTGCAGGGGGGTCAGCAGGCTCTGGTTGATGGTGACCTCCTGGATCCCCCCGGCGGGGCACACCGGGAAGCTAGAACCACCTCGGCCAGCGAAGGAGCCCCCAAATCCACCTCCGAAGCCACCAGCAACGCCAAAACCACCAGCACCGCCGAAACCGGCACCGAAGCCGCCAGCACCTCCAAAGCCGGCGCCCTGGCGGGACCCGGCAACACTCATGGAGATGCTCTTATTGCCCCCAAGGTTGTAGAGGCTCCTGCTGCCGAAGCCCCCCGAGGAGCAGCGGCCTGCACCCCCAGACACGGAGACCGAGCTGAAGGTGGCCCTCTTGCCTCCGCCTATGACGGCCGAGCTGCCGCTGAAGCCCCGAGACCCGCCTCGGACACACTGCTGTCTGGCGATCATGGCTGGAGAGAGAGGAGAGCGAGCTTGGAGCTGTGAGAGAGAGGCGAGAGGGGCTCCTGGCCGGTGAATGCTGCAGCTGGGAGCCTGGGTCTCTTATATGTGCCGGAGCTGCAGGGCTTGGTTGCAGGGGCATAAAGGGAAAAATCCGAAACATCTCTGGGCTTGGCCTTTGGCACAAGCCCATCCCGCTCGCACCTGCTGAACATGTCACTAAACACACCTACAGAAGTCACTGGGAGGGCACAGGTGACTGGATCCCGTCCCACTCCCCTCCAGAAGAAGCTGAGCCAGCACCTCGGGGCTTCTCGGATCAGAGACCCGAGCTCCCACCCTCGGCACCTCCTTTCCAACAGCCGCACAGCCGTGGCTCCCACCCCCACACAAGACATCCCATTCTTGAGCCAGGTTCAAGTGCATAGCTCTGCAGACCTGGAGCAAGTCACCCTCCGGGGCTCAGCAGTTTCACCTGTAAATTGGAAACCATGCAAAGGGGTCCCTTTCCCACCCCTGGGGGACAAGGAGGCACCGAGGAATGGGTGCTATGGATCCCCTCAGAGCCCGTGCATACCCCCTCTGTGATTCTGATTCTTATTCCTGCCCAGGGACTTGGCCCCAGGTACACATGCACAGGGAAATCTCCCCTATCCCAACCTGGCCGCCTTCCAGACCCAAATTCAGCCTCACTTCAACTTAACCAGCAGCTCCTGAGAACCCGCCAGGTGTGGAGCGAGGTGTTGAATAGATGGAGGTGAGGGGGAAGCAAAACACCCAGGGGTGGGCATTTGGCCTGAAGGTTAAGGCGCCCGTGCCCCATGTCGCAGAGCCTGGCTTTGATTCCCAGCTCCAGCACACAACTCCAGCTTCCTGCTAATGCAGACCCCTGCCGCACTGGTGTTGGTTCAACCTGACCCTCTGCCTCAGGCCCTTGCGACCTCGTTGCTGCCGAGGCCTCCATTCAGATCCACATCATCACAATTCTGCACCTGCTGCCCCAGCTGTTTGCATGGCTCCCCCTAAACAGAGCCCCTTCTGCTGTTCCGGAATGGCCCCAGCACTCAGGCCAGGACTCCTGATGTGTTTGGTGCCAGGGATCCCTTTTGGTGAAACTTAGTTAGAAGTCTTCCCCAGCGAGTCCAACAGATCTGTGTTTGAGTGCCACCAATTGCCACTATCTAGCTGTGCTGCCTGGAGCGGGTCACCTAACCTCTCTGAACCCACCCAACCCCTCTTCCCATCAAGGAAACGGAACTCTGGCTGGTGTCTGGCACACAAGAGGCTTCAGGCAGTCATGCTCTTCCTGCCTGGGCTGTGTCATTGCCACCGACAAGGAGAAAGTCCATGAATCTGCGTGCCCCCGCTCTGTTCAGTCCCCAGGGAAGGAATGGTCCCAAATCCCAGGAGGAGCCGTGCCCAGGGCCTGGATAACCCCACAGGCCCCAGACGTAATGGAAACTGGGACGCACACCCATGCTGGTCGGTTCCCAGGGGCTCCACGCTCATGGTCTCCGTCCTGTACCCTTGTACCTGGTACGCAGTCAGTTTGCCAATGCCCGGAGAAAGCTGGGCTAGAACAGGGTGCCTGAACAAACCCCACTGAACACACCGCTCAGGACAAAGGGGCTGTGAGGGCACTGGCATCCCACTGGCTGCCAGCTTCCACCCTGACCCCTAGGGGTGGACCCTGGGGAGGCAGGTGGGGGCTACTCTCGGGCTCTGGGGGCTGCAGGAGCAGCAGCAGAGGAGACCCGAGTCTTGGGGAGCTGAGGTTCCCTGGTCTGGTTTCCTGCCCCGAGCGGACGTGCGAGGGTGGCCGGATCTCGGCGTGGCTGGGGGTCCGGGGCCCAGAGCCCTGGCTGCCTCAGCTGCACCTGTGCACCTGCCACGCCCAACACTGTTCTCCGGCTGCCTCAGCTTGTGGGGGAGGGAAGGGTTGATGGGGACCCCACAGGGTGGGATGGAGGGTTCGGGTCAGCAGGGCTGCAGCCCACAGGGCAAGCGCGTTGCATCTAGAGTTGTGTGCAGTGCCTAAATCACAGAGCGGGCTGGGGTGAGCGGTGCAGGGCATGCAGGAAAGTCGGTCTCTACCGTGCAATCCACCTTGCTCTCTGCCTGTGCCTCACCCACACTATGGAGCCCCCATAAAGATGTTTCTCATTTGCCAGCCCTCAGGGTTCAAAGGCAGACGGGGACAGGTGCTTCTCACGGGAAGGGGCTCTCACTTGGAACTGGTGCTCTGCGCTGAGAATCTCATGTATTTCTGAAGACAGTGCCATTCCCTGCCATGCCCAGTCCAGAGCTTCAGACACCGGGGTTCGGAGAGGTTAAGTATCTTGTCTGAGATCACAAAGCCAGGACATGGAGGTGGGGAGCTGGTCCTGTCTGTCCAGCACCAAAGCTCATGACCCTAACCTCTACACCACAAGGTTCCCCGTGGGCAACCCTTCCATAGCAAAGGGGCTGGCGCTGTGGTGTAGCAGGTAAAGCCATCGCCTGCAGTGCCCGCATCCCATATGGGCACCAGTTCGAGTCCTGGCTGCTCCACTCCCGATTCAGCTCTCTGCTATGGCCTGGGAAAGCAGTAGAAGATGGCCCAAGTCTTTGGGCCCCTGCACCTGCATGGTAGACCCAGAAGAAGCTCCTGGCTTTGGATCAGTGCAGCTCTGGCCATTACAGCCATCTGGGGAGTAAACCAGTGGATGGAAGACCTCTCTCTCTGTCTCTCTGCCTCTGTAACTTCACCCTTCAAATAAGTAAATAAATCTTTAAAAAGAACCTGTAGGCGAGAAAGAAACCCAGAGCCCCTTCTCTGCCCAGTAGTTGAGGGCCTCCAAATGGCCTCAGCATTGGCCAGCAGGCTCTGGTGGGTCAGCAGCCTCTGGTCTGTCCTCTGGCCACGTCATAATTGCTTGTCCTCAAAAGCACTGGGAAGGTATGACCCCGTCCTAAGGGGCCACTTCTGTGTCCTCCAATTAACTAAATCCTAATTAATTTAACTGGAAATCCTACAATAAACCCAAGCCAAACAGGAAGAAAGTTCTAGTCGACAGCCATATCCTGTGGCCTTGCTATTAAATCGGAATTGCCAGGGGTTCACAAAATGCTGCAAGTGAAGCACGCCCGACTGAAGGCAGACGCAGGGAAGAACTTCCTGGGCGACAGACTTGCTCCTCCTGTGAGTGAGACCCAGGCAGAGAGGAGAAGCGGGGGCAGAGGCAGCAAGTGGACAAGGTGCCCCTACCCGGCAGTGAGAGCGCAAGGCTGGCCCCTCCCCCCAACCCCCTCCAGCCCCCACTGACTCCCGCCCCTGCCCTCCGTGACCTCCAACTGGCAGCCTGCCCCCAGAGAGATGAGCAGCGGAAGGGGCGTGGTGCGGCTGGGAGGGTGTGTTTGCTCGGGGCTTTCTGGGTGAGGGAGGCAAGCCTCAGTTCAGCCCCGGGATTAGCATCCTGAGGACTTCTGTCACTGTCAGAAATCCAGCGTGCGGTGTGGGAAAGCGCTCCTGCCCTCCCTAGCCCCATGGCCTTCGGTCACCCAACCCTGACCGCCCCAGTGGGCCTGAGTCACTCTCGGGGAGCCCGGGGCCAAGCAGGTTCAGGAAAGGGCCAGGGAGGGCTCCCGAGAACCTGGGCTTGGGGGTGGAGGGAGATCCATGCCCGGGGCTCCTGTCTCCCAGAGCCCCTCCTGCTCCCCTGGGCCACTGGGCACAGGCAAACGGGGGCCACGCGTCCCCACAGCGAACAAAAGCAGGTGCACCGCCCCACGCGGAAAGTGGAGCAGAGATTCCCCAAGTGGTGAAGAGGAGGGGACCACGCTCCTTCACACCTGCTGGCCTCCCCGCTGGACCCGTGCACCCTTGGACACAGCCCCCGGGGGGCCCTTGGGCTGCAGGTTCTCCCCCCCCGCCCCCCCCAGCCCATTCCCAGCCTTCAACATCACAGGTTGCTGCTGCCCCAGGGCTGTGAGCTCCGAGTTTGCTTCATGGTAATTAGAACTCAGCGTGCTGGTCAGTGGCAAAGCTCCAACGTCCCTTCTAGCTCCCGTCCCTCTGTTTCTTTCTTTCTTTCTTTCTTTCTTTCTTTCTTTCTTTCTTTCTTTCTTTCTTTCTTTCTTTCTTTCTTTTTTAATGTATTTATTTCAGAGAGAGCACACACCAAGACCTCCCATCTGTTGGTTCACTCTCTAAGTGCCCGCCACCAGGCCTGCGGCTGGGAGCCGGGACGCCACCCAGGGCTCCCAGGGGAGTGTCGTGAACCCAAGCACTTGAGCCATCCCTGCTGGCTCCCAGGGTTCATGTCAGTTGGAAGCTGGAGTCAGGAGTGGAACAGCATCAAACCCAGGCGCTCTGATAAGGGACACTTTTTTAAATTCATTCATTCATTCATAAGGCAGAGAGAATATGATCTTCTATCCACTGGTTCATTCCCCCAAATGCCTGCATCAGCCGGAGCTGCACCAATCCAAAGCCAGGAGCCAGGAGCTTCTTCTGGGCCTCCCACACAGGCGCAGGGGCCCAAGGACTTGGGTCATCCTCCACTGTTTTCCCAGGCCATAGCAGAGAGCTGGATCGGAAGAGGAGCAGCCAGGACTCAACCGGCGCCCCTGTGAGACACTGGTGTGACAGGAGGCAGCTTTACCCACTATGCCCCTGCGCCGCCCCACTGCCATTTCTTTTCTACATAAACAACACAGTCCTGTGGGTGTGAGATGACTTGGGTTCCACATCCAGCTCTCCTGTCGCTAGCTGTGTGACCTTCAGCCGGTTCCTTAACCACTCTGTGCGTCATTGTCCCCATCTGCAAAATGAGGGTGGTGAAAGCCCCCGATCATCCGCTGCTGAAAAGATTGAATGCACGAGAGCAGTGCCGGCCCAGTGGGCCCTCAGGAAACTGTCATTCCTGAGCCGTGCAGGGCTGGGGGGTGAGAGTGGGGAGGGGCGCGCTCACTCCCGGGAGGAGCAGTCTCGCTCTGGCACAGTGACAAACCTCCCCAGGGCCACGGCGGCCACCCAGGCAGGGCGGAGCGGGTTTTGCTGAGGGCTAGGCCTTTGTTTCTCTAAGCTGTGGTTCAGGGTTTGGCTCTGCTGGCTTCCCGGAGCCCTGGGAGGAGCTTCCCTGGGCTTTTCTGGGTTGCTCCAGGATTGAGTGACAAGGCGGAGAGGCAGCAGGCTGGGTTCCAGCCGGGCCAGGAGTCCTCAGGAGAGGTACGGGCAGCCCGCACTGGGCGGACGGAGCTGGCGGCCGGGCTGCGGATGCACGGGCGTGGGTAGAGCAGTGGGCTCCAGGTTCAGAGAACCGTGGGGCGGATAGCAAAGGAGGTGATTCTGGGCGTCACAGGGAGGTTTGGAGTGGTGGGTGCAGGAGAGGGTGCAGGGAGCTTCCACGGAGAAAGGCTGGGGGCTCGGAACCCTACCATCCCGGCCTCCTCAGCTATGCAAATCTGCGCACGGAGTTAACCAGTTTCTTTGAGCCTCAATGGCCTTGCCTGTGAAATGGGCTATCGCTGCCCTCGACTACACTCTGCAGCTGCTGCAAAGGTCACCGGCAAAACAATGTGTTGTGGGGCCAGTGCTGTGGTGTAGCAGGTAAAGCTGCCACCTGCAGCGCCGGCATCCCATATGGGAGCCGGTTCAATTCCCGGCTGCTCCACTTCCCATCTACCTCTCTGCTATGGCCTGGGAAAGCAGTAGAAGATGGCCCAAGTCCTTGGGCCCCTGCACCTGCGTGGGAGACCCAGAAGAAGCTCCTGGCTCCTGGCTTTGGATCGGCGCAGCTCCGGCCATTGTGGCCATTTGGGGAGTGAACCAGCGGATGGAAGACCTCTCTGTGCCTCTAACTCTGTAATTCTGCCTCTCAAATAAGATAATTTAAAATTATAGTAATGTGTTTTCAACCACAAAATCCAGCCACGTGTGGGTTTGTATCAATAGCCAACGTGAACATGATGAGCTGGGAACCCATGAGGCAGCGGGAAGGGAAGCAAAGCGAGCCACTCCTTGTGAGAGCCCCCACGAGCCCGATGCTTTACACACACGTTCTTCTCACAACCCTGCATTTGCAAAGGAGGAACCTGGTGCTCAGGGAAGTTAAGCAACTTTCCCAAGGTCACACAGCCAGCAAGGGGCCAAAATGGGATTGAAACCCAGGCCAGCCTGGTTCTGAGCCCAAGATGTCTCCACTGAGCCGATGAGGCCCCAAGGCTGGGCTGGGCAACAGGCAGCTGCACACAGCCCCACAGCGGCCGGCCCTGCCTAGAGCAATGCACCCTGGCCTCCCTCTGTGCACTCCTGCATGGCACGGTGCCTGGGACACCATGAGTGTGCAGCTGTCATTGTCTCCCTCATCCTGCGTTCATCAGACGACACAAGTTCACTTGCCCGGGCCGGATAGAAGGGAGCCACAGCCAGCCCAGTGTCCACGCTCTTTATTAGGCGGCTGGCAGGCAAAGAGAGGGCACAGGGGTGTGGGCAGATGGGGCGGTGGGGGGGGGGGGTTCTTTGGGGACCACGCCCTCCTCCCCCACCCACCCTGACCTCAAAGCAGACACAGGAGCTGGGGGCTGCGCCATGGCCTGGGAAATTCAGCCCCTAGAGAGACAACCCCCACAGATCCAGCTGGTGCTGGAGATGTCCCATCCTATCGCGGACCCCAGCAGCAAGCCTGGGCCGATTCGTCGCCCCCACCCACCCCCGGGGGGGCGCTGCTCCTGCTCCTAAGAGGTCAGGGGAAGTGGGGTGGAGGTGGCGGTGCAGCCGAGATGGGAGGAGCTGGGTCGCAGCCTGCGCTGGGCTAGTACCTCCAGCTGCCCGTCTTCGTCTTCACCGTGGTGGTCTTGCGCAGGATGGAGGAGCCCCCAGAGACGGCCCCTCCCTTGACGGTGCCGTAGCCCAGGCTCGTGCTGGCCCCGCCCTTGCTGGCGCCCCCGCCCCCACCCAGGGAGAAGCCGCCGCCGCTGCTGCCGCCGCCGCACGTGGTGGTCGAGCTGCCGGTCACCGCTGCAAGGCAAGAGGCTGGATCAGGCCGGTGGGGGACCCTCTGGACTGGCTCCGGGGACGGGGGCGTGGTTCAGGCCCGGGAGGGGTTGTAAGGAAAACTGGGGAGTTGGGCCGGGCAGGCCAGGGGCGGGGCAAGGCGGGGCGGGGCGGGACCGGGCATCCAGTACTCACAGATGCTGACCGCGCTGGGGCATTCTCCGGACATCCTGGGGGAAGCGGGCAGCGGGGTCAGGGGGCTCCCGGGAGCCCAGACGAAACCCTCTCCCGCCCTCCGCCCCCGACCCATAGACTGAGCGCACGTGGCTGGGCCCGACTCCCAGCCCCTCCCCCAGGTCCTCAAGGCAGTGAGAGCAGGTGGAGCCAATCCCCGCTGCCTCCCTGAGCCCGCGAGCAGTATCCCGGGTCCCCCTGGATAACGGTCACCCCGTTTCTGACCAGGGCTTTTCTTTTTCAAAGCTCCCTGGTGGGGGGGGGGGGGGGGGGACCTGGGCTGCCAGCCGCCATAAGGGTCACCCATGGCTGTACCCACCAGGGTGAAAGCAACAGGGGAATGCCCCCTGGGGCTGAGCGAGGAGCCCAGCCCCCTCCCCACCCCGCTGCAGGCGCCAGGATTGCTCGGGGCTGTCCCAGGGGACCGCACCTGCTCTCCTCGCTCTCCAGCAGCTTGCGGTAGGTGGCGATCTCCACGTCCAGCGCCAGCTTCACGCTCAGAAGGGCCTGATAGTCACGCAGGAGCCGGGCCAGGTCCTCCTTGGCCTGGTGCAGGGCCACGTCCAGATCCCCAAGCTTCTTCTGGGCGTCCTTGAGGGCCACCTCCCCGCGCTGCTCGGCCTCGGCGATGGCCGCCTGCAGCTGCTGGCACTGCGGGGGAGGGGGAGGTGTTGGGAGCAGCCCCCACAGTCCCCCCTCCCACCGCTCTGCCCTCCAGCTTCTCTGTCCCCACGCCCCACCCCAACCAACTGGGTGGGGGAATTTTCATCTGAGAGAAGAGAGGCTGCTGCTACTACACAAGCAGGCTCCTTGGGTGGGAAAGTCCTTACTGAAGTCTAACCCCAGTCCCTCCTGCTCAGCCTAGTGTTTGAAAGAGCTACGGCAAACCACCCAAGCTCACCGTTAGCCAGATGCTTTGTGTGGAGCTGGAGAAAAAGCCACACTTTTGAACCACAGCCTGGAGGAGGTCAGCGTGTATAGCCTGGGGCCCTTGGGTCTTCAGCCTCCTGCCCTGAACCTCTTAGATCCAGGAGGAGCTCGTCCCACCTGTGCCACCACCTACATGCTGTGTGACCTCAGTCTAGTCCCTTGCCCTCTCTGGGCCTCACTGTTTCCCTATGAGAGGAGCATGTGGTCCAGCATTTGAGCGCATCTGGCCCATCACAAGAAGAGCAGGTGTCGCACCTCGGATGACCAAGAGGAGGCCCTCCAGCCCCGCCCACACCCAGGCCCCCCGGGGTGGAGTTGGGGGATTATAGGGGACACCTGCTTCTTGGCTGCGTCCGCCTCACTCTGTAGCCTCTGGACAACGCGCGTGAGCTCCGTAATCTCGTTCTTGGTGTCCCGCAGGCTGTCACCGTGTTTCCCAGCCGTCACCTGCAGCTCCTCGTACTGCAGCCCAGAGAAGGTGCCGTGAGCTGTGACCCGGCCCCAGTGTGCCCCATGTCTCCCTCCCAGCCGGGAGGCCCCAGAGTCTGTCTGGTCCCCCGGGGCTTCAAGTTCCCAGGGACCCAGACCTCCCTCCGTGGGTGGGTTGGGGGAGATCTGTGTGCAACTCCAGCCTGTCCACCTGCACCAGCATCGCTCCACCCACCTTGGTCTGGTACCAGGCCTCAGCCTCAGCGCGGCTCCTCTGGGCGATCAGCTCATACTGGGCCTTGACCTCGGCGATGATGCTGTCCAGGTCCAGGGAGCGGTTGTTGTCCATGGACAGCACCACGTTGGTCTCAGACACATGAGTCTGCACTTGGCTCAGCTCCTGCAAACATACCACTGGCTGCCACCAGTGCCCCCCAACAAGGTCCCCTGGGCGGGGTCGGGGCGGGGGGAGGGCCGGGCTGCACCCTGGAAGGAAGCCACAATTGCAAGGGGAGGCCTCAGGCTTCCCAGCTGTCAAATGGGCTCTTGTTTGTAGACTGGCCCACAGGCTGCTTTTGGAAAAGGTCAGCACCAGGCCAGGGCAGTGCATCCCCAGGGGCAGCCAGTCAGCCACCCGCTGTCCCATCCTCGGCGGTCCTGACCCCGGCCAGGTGAGGGCAGGCGCTTGGAGAAGACAAGCGGCAGGTTCGAGGGCTCCAGGTCCAGGGGTGGAGCTGAACTGGAGAACTTCCCCCAGGAAGTAGGGAGCCCGGCGTTCAACTGGGCTCCTGGAACCTGACATGGCACAGACTAGAGCAGAGACAGACAGAAACCCCACAGCCAAAACTGACGGCCACACCAGCACAGGTGGACTTGTGAGTGCAGAGGGCCTCTTTGAGGGTGGGGGATTCCCAGTCTCTGCCATGTTTGTGGCTTTGAGACAGGAAGTGAGTCCCCGACGGATGTGCACTGAGGTTGTCACTAACCCTAGTGCCACCTCCGTCCCCTCCCGTGTGCTGGGGCCCTGGGGGACACCTTCCTCGAGCCCTGAGGACAATCAACCCACTTGTTAAAACTGGGTTGAAAACGGCATCCCAGACAGCCCCGGGATGGGGTGAGATGGAGGACAGGCCAGTGCCAGGGGCCAGGCAAAGTGGGGCAGGAAGAGCCATGTCTGCTCAGACACCTGGGGGCCCCCTACGGGGTCCCAGCCAGGCAGGCAGCAATGGGGTCAGAGAGGAGGATCGGCTGGGTCCCACACACGCCCCAGGCCACTGGAGGCCACGGAGCCCACGTCCCTGCCCTGAGAGATTCCCACGGAGATTCACACTCTGATTTCCTGGAGACTTGCATTGGCCAAACCAGACCGTGAAATGGGCCCCTGACTATGGTGTTGGAAAGACAGAACCACTGTTCTGTCTTGCCTCCAGGAGGCCCTGCTAGGCCAGGAGGCACTGGATGGGAAATCTGCCCATCAAATAAATAACAAATAATTTTTTAAATGTTAATACATGGAAGGTAGTACAAATAGTGCAGCCAAAGGCCCATCTCCTACCAATCAGGTGACTGTGATCCCAGTACTTTATGTAAATGTATACAGATTAGCCCTGCCCATCAGCCAATGATGAGGCAATTCAGTGCTATATGTTAATATATGCAGATTGTCCTGCCCATTGGCCATGGTGAGGAGAGCCCAGTGCTCTATGTAAACGTATGCAGATCAGCCCCGCCCATTGTCCAATGATTAGGCAATGTGATGCTATATGTAAATATATGCAGATTGTCCCCACCCATCTGCCATCTCACCATGTCGTAGACATGCCGCAGGAAGTCCATCTCCTGGGTCAGGGTGCTGGCTCTGCCCTGCAGATCTGTTCGCCCCACGTAAGCGGCATCCACATCCTGTATGAGAGGGAGCCGGCAAGGTGGTGGCTCAGCCCCCAAGGGTCTCACCTCCCTCTGAGCCCGCCCGCACCCTGGCAGCCCCAGGACCACCTCCACCCCTGTCTGTCCCCTCCTTACCTTCTTGAGCACCACGAACTCGTTCTCTGCAGCCGTGCGTCTGTTGATTTCCTCCTCATACCTGTCACGCAGGGAAGGTCAGGCCACACTCGGCCGAGTGCTGCCTTTAGCACTTGGACCCACTCAGCTTAAGGAAGCCCTAAGCATCTCCCGGTGGGGAGCTGTGCCGCTGAAGAGACCTGGGGGGGACTGCCTTAATTTAAACATCCTTAGGGCCAGTGCTGCGGCATAGCAGGTTTGGCTGCCGTCTGTGGTGCCAGCATCCCATACAGGCGCCGGTTCTAGTCCCGGCTGCTCCACTCCGATCCAGCTGGGAAGGCAGCGGAAAATGGCCCAAGTGCTTGGGCCCCTGCATCCATGTGGGAGACCCGGAAGAGGGTTCTTGTGGCCATTTGGGGAGTGAACTAGCAGATGGAAGCTCGCTCTCTCTCTCTCTCTCTCTCTCTCTCCTTCTGTAATGTAACTCTGCCTTTCAAATAAATAAACACATCTTTAGAAAATCAACAACAACATCCTCTCTCCGCAGAGAAGAGCTGGGGTGACCTGACACAGAGCTAAGGAATGTTCAGGAGGGGGCACAGAATTTGTGCAACACCACGGCAATCAAGAGCAGCCACCTCTTTGGAGCAGAGCCCTTAGGGACAGGTGTCGATGTGTCAATAATAGCCAACCTTTGCCTGCACTTTCAACAACAGGACGGGGCCGCAACAACCACCTCCTCCCTGCGCGCTCTGGCTGAGACGTTCAGGTTTTGCAATTGCCGGCGACCGAATCGTGGGAAAGTTACCAAAAAAAAAAAAAAAAAAATTGCGCCTGCAAGTAATAAATGTGCACATCCACCAATCCTGGCTTGGAGCTCAAATCAAACAGCCTGCATGCCGTCAGGAATCGAGCTGGGTATTTGGTGATATTGAGGGATTTCGGTTTGAATGTTTTGGGCATGATTGTGGCATTGTATGAAGTCAGGTCCAGAGAGGCGCTACTTGACTTAGTCCAGGGAGGTGTGAATGAAGTGGCCTAGAGGCTGGGATTTTCTGGACATCAGGAAGGGAGGAGGGGAAGGAAGGAGGGAGGGAGGAGAGGAGGGGAGCTTGGCGGGGAGTGGACAGGGATTATTCTCACAGGGCCTCATTGCACTCGCTGCCCTCCCCACCTGAGAACAACTTGCTTCAACTGCAAACAGCAATGCACCTGCCAACGCTCCAGGTCGCAGCAGGCCCACCCCCAAGCCTCCCCCCCCCCCCCCCCCCCGAGGACCAGCTCTGCGTCTGCCTTCTGCTTCCCCCCAGAGGGGCGGCCCTCCCTGGGGAGGTGTCCCATGCCGCCCCTGCCCCTCCCCCACGTGCCCCAGCCCACCCAGGCGCTCTCACTTGTTCTTGAAGTCCTCGACGTGGTCCTGCACGTTCCTCAGCTCCGAGTCCAGCCTCCCGCGCTCCCCCTGGAGGGTGTCCAGCTGCCTCCGCAGGTTGCCCACGTAGGCCTCAAAGACGGGCTCCAGGCTGTTCCTGCTGACACCCGAGCCGTGGCCCTGCTCCTGCAGCAGCGCCCACTTGGTCTCCAGTACCTTATTCTGCTGCTCCAAGAAGCGCACCTGAGCCAGAGTGAGACGGGCAGGCTGGCATCACGGGCCAGCCATGGGAAGGGCCGGGGACGCGAGCCCATGGTCACCACCTGTCCCCAGCCAGGGCATCTTGGGGGCGGTGCAGCTGTGCCAACACCTCGCTGAGCTGGGCACATCACTCCCTCTGATGGAAAGGACCCAAAAGAGCTGATAAACCTCAAAGTTTCCTTGCTAACGCTTTGCCCATTTGGCCTCTGGGCCCATCCCACAGAAGAGGCACAGGTCACCAGGGGAGAGAGTGAGGAGGCGGGGGAACGGCTCGTTTCACCACACCACCCAGTCTCCCCGGTCCCACCTCCACTTCACCCAGGGCGCCAGGCACACAACCAGGGAGCGCCACACAGCAGGTGCGCCCACCGTAAAGAGACGAGATGGGCAACGCCTCTGGGACCAGGATCCACTGGGACCCAGGAACCTGAGTGCCAGTCCCACCTCTGCCTCCAAGAACCTAGACAAATCACCTGGCCTCCATCTCTAAATGGCACATTAACACTTATCCTGACTCCTTGTGGAAGCACCGTGGGTGTCTCTTGAGAAAGCGGGCGCGAGTGCTCGTTGGACGAACCAAGGTGTGGCTGCCCACTGCATCTTGCCCCTGGTGACCCTGCTGCCCCCTCTGGGGGCTGAGGTGGACTACGAGGCAGGCCAGAGGGCAGTACCGGACCACCCCAGACGTCCTGGAGGCCGGAGATGGACTCAGAACACTGCCGATCTGCAACAGGTCGAACTCCACATCCCCAGGTCGTGGCGACCTGCTGAGCTGGTGACCACCCTCCCTGCTGTCCACCCCATGCCGAGCTTCTTGGCTTGAACTGGAAAAAGACAAAAGGCTGCAAAGGCCACCTCACCAACAGGAACAAGGAGGACGGACCACTTTTGAGTTGTGAGCCAAGGCTGCTGTGTAATTGTGTCACTGACGGCCACAGCAGGGACTCCAACAGGCCAAGGTGGGGCTTGGCCAACAGGTCTCACGGCAGGGACTGGAGACGACCTGGAGACGGCGGCCGTCCCCACCCCCCCAGCAGTGTCCCAGCTCAGGCCAGCAGAGCTCCAAAGTGCCCCGCCCCGTGTACCCCAGGAACGGCCACTGCCCAGCGCACCCTCCCCTGGGGGCCCGGCTTCCTCCCCAGGGCTGGCCCCTCCTCCCTCCCTCCCCACAGGCCCCACCTTGTCGATGAAGGAGGCGAACTTGTTGTTGAGGGTCTTGATCTGCTCCTTCTCCTGCGTGCGCACTCTCTGGATCTCAGGGTCAATCTCCACGTGCAGAGGGGTCAGCAGGCTCTGGTTCACGGTGACCTCCTGGATCCCACCAGGGGGACAGGCAGGCCCGAACATCTGCCTGCCAGCCCCCAGGCCAGCGTAGATCCCGCTGCCAAGGCCAAGGCTTCCCAGAGCCCGGCCCGAGGAGGTTCCCCGGGCTGCGCTGACCCAGAGGCTTCTGCTGCCACCCAGGTCATGGAGGCTCCGGCTGCCAAAGCCACCCTTGCTGGGGCTACAGCGGGCACCCCCGCCACTGCTCCGGGACAGAGTCACCGAGCTGAAGCTGGTGTGGGTACGGGCCCCGGCCCCTCCGCTGGCGGAGGTGGAGCTGAAGCCCCCCTTGGTGGAGTACGCGTGCCGAGACACCGAGGACCGCATGGCTGGGAGGGGCACAGAGCAGGCTGAGAGCTGGGAGGCAGTGCACTGATCCGCTGCCTGCCACGAATGGGCTTTTTATCCTCCTCGAACGGGGCTGGCTCCTGGGTTCCACACAGCTCCTGCCCCCATTGCCCCAGCATGAGAGGGAGGGGCCCCGTGGGCGGGGGGGGGCGGGGGGCGTCCCTTCACCCCCAGCAGGAGGGAGGGGCCTCTCCCCCATCACCTGTGCTCACAGCAGAGACTGGCGGGGGCAGGATGCCACCTTCTGCCCCCTCGGGCTCCGCTCACTTGGAACAGGATGACACCGGCTCCCACGGCCGCCCTCACCCAGGGAGGCCGGCTCGGTCTCATCCCACCCACCCCGATGGTCGCAGTCAATGGGTGTCTGTTCTGTTGGGGTTATCCCAGGCCCCTGCTGTAAGCCAAGGCCCCAGGCCCGGGGCTGTGCAGGTGTAAGGGCGGCAGTGTTGGGCAACGGGCTGCTGGAGAGGGTGCCCAGGCCTGCTGCCGGGCCAGCCTTGCAGCTCACGGCCTCACCCCCTCCTGACAGCCAGGCTGGGGGACACAGGTGAAGGCCAGGGGTGGAGGCAGCCTGGTCCTTGGTCATACCCTGCGGGAGGGGCTGCAAGGACAGACACAGCGGCCCTGGGCACTTGAAGATGGCGGGGCCCACCCTGGGGGCTGAAGGAGGCAGCAGGGGGTTTCTGCTGTCACCTGAGACCCTGGACTCTCAGCCATGATACAGCCGTCCCCGCTAGGTGCAGCTACCTTGGAGGAAGCTGAAGGTGGGTGGAGAGGACCCCCATCCTGGCTGGAGTCAGGAATAGGTCCAAGATGTGCGGGCTGAGGAACAGCCCCGAGAACCCCTCCTGGCACACCCCCTCAGTCCCGGCTCGGCCGCCCACAGAATGCCAAACACTCGGTTCCAAGGGGGCTGGGAGCACCTTGAGTCCCTTCGCAGAGACGCCCTCTCCTTACCCACCTCGGACTGCTGGGAGCCCACAGGAGCCGGAGCAGACATGGGGACTTTGACAGTTAAGTGACAGCAGGACGGACAAGGCGCTTTGAGAGACCCCATACACACACATTGCTTCCCTCTTCGCAACCCAGCCAGAAAGGGGCCGGGGGACACCCAAGGGATGGAGCTGAGGCGTCCCAAGGACCCCGAGCAGAGGACCTGACCCTGTGACCACTGTGCCCTCTCCACAGCCCCTGCAGGCCCAGAGGCAGCCACAGGTCTTTTCCCTGGGCTGCAGGAGGCTGACCGTGGCCCTGCACTGCCTGGGAAAGGTGGACCCAGCTCCCCCGGGAGCTCTCCTGGTCCCTTGTGGCCCAGGAGAAAGGCTTCCTCCTTGGTCAGGGTCAGGACATGAGGCTGGGGGCTGGATCCCCACCGGGCTGTCCTCAGGCAGCCCTCAACCTCTCTGAGCCCACCTTAGGGGGGCCTTGGACTGAGCCGCCAAGCGTCCCCAAACTTTGCCATCTTGCCCCAGGCTGGGATCACTTTCTCAGTGTCCCTTATCTCTCCAGGGCACGTGGGAGGGGACACAGTCGTGAGCAGGGGAGTGAGATCAGCCATGAGTCACTGCAGGCAGGGGAGGTGGGATCGGGCGGGACCAGCTGCAAACACAGCCAGGAGGCTGACACCACGCACGCACGCTGCTCATTCGCGTATTTGTCAAGGGCACTCTCCTGCCAGCCTTGGCGCGAGAAGCTGGTGGCAGGTGCACAGGGCAGCCCGGGGGCGGGCATCTGGGGAAGTGGTGGAGACCCCGCCTGGGACGCCCACATCTCGTATTGGAGTGTCTAAGTCCCAGTCCCAGCTACACTTCTAATCCCAGCTTCTGGTTACTGCACACCCTGGAAGGCAGCAGAGACGGCTCAGGTAGTAGGGTCCTTGCCACTCACATGCGAGCCTTAGGCTGCGATTCTGGCTCCCAGCATCAGCCTGGCCTAGTCCTGGCTCGGGCTCTTGCGGGCATTTGCAGAGTGAATCGGTGGGCGGGAGGTGTTTGTCTCCCCCCAACCCCACCGCCACTGCCTTCCAAATTAAATGAAAATTTAATATTTTTAAAGGATAGCCAACAGTTTTTCTTTTTTAAAAATTATTTATTTGAAAATCAGAGTTACAGAGAGGCAGAGAGAGAGAGAGAGAGAGAGAGAGAGAGAGAGAGGTCTTCCATCTGCTGGTTCACTCCCCAATTGGCCACAACGGCCAGAGCTGCACCCATCCGAAGCCAGGAGCCAGGAGCTTCGCCCAGGTCTCCCACGTGGGTGCAGGGGCCCAAGGACTCGGGCCATCCTCTACTGCTTTCCCAGGCCATAGCAGAGAGCTGGATTGGAAGTGAAGCAGCCAGGACTAGAACTGGCACCCATGTGGAATGAGGGCACTGCAGGCAGAGGCTTTACCTGCTATGCCACAGCACCAGCCCCAGCTAATGCTTTTTCTAAAAAAAATTTTAAAAGATTTATCTATTTATTTGAAAGTTACAGAGATAGAAAGAGAGAGATCTTCCACCCACTGGTTCACTCCCCAAATGGCCACAAATAGGAAGGGTTGTAACCAAGCTGAAGCCAGGAGCCAGGAGCTTCTTCCAGGTCTCCCACGTGGGTGGCAGGGGCCCAAGCACTTGGTTCATCTTCTGCTGCTTTCCCAGGCATGTTAGAGGAAGCTGGGTCCGAAGTGATCTATTGCTCATATGGGATGCTGGTACCACAGGCAGCAGCTTAACCTGTCATGGCCCTTTTAAGAAGATTTAAAAAAATATTTATGAGGGGTTGGTGCTGTGGCACAGCAGGTAAAGCCGCCGCCTGCAGTGCCAGCATTCCATATGGGCACAGGTTCGAGTCCCAGCTGCTCCACTTCTAATCCAGCTCTCTCTGCTGTGGCCTGGGAAAGCAGAAGATGGCCCAAGTCCTTGGGCCCCTGCACCCCTGTGGGAGACCCAGAGGAAGCTCCTGGCTCCTGGCTTCGGATTAGTGCAGCTCCAGCTATTGTGGCCAATTGGGGAGTGAATCAGGGGATGGAAGACCTTTCTCTCTCTCTCTCTCTCTCTCTCTCTCTCTCTCTCCCTCTCTCCCTCTCTCTCTCTCTCTCCCTCTCTCCCTCTCTCCCTCTCTCCCTCTCTCCCTCTCTCCCTCTGCCTTTCTGAAACTCTGCCTTTCAAATAAATAAATAAATATTAAAAAAATATATGAGTCAGGCATCAGCCCTAGCTCTGGACATGGTAAGGGCTTTGCTTAGCTTCTAGTCTCTGGCCTTTATTCAACCCCTTGGCCCATGCCAACCACCCCCATCCCCACCACCTGCACCCCGCAACCCCTCATAAAAACCCTTTCATTAAAGTCAACCCAGCCCTGTTCTATTCTCACTGCCAAGGTGACAGAGAAAAGAGGGAACCATCGGGTATGACTACAGGCAGTCTTGCACAAACTGCTCCGGATATGTGCTCAAGGTCAAAGCCATTGAGAAGTCCAGCATCCAGGGACCTGACACAGCCTAGCAGCTAAGACACCCACTTCTCCAATCAGAGTGTCTGGGTTTGCGTCCCAGCTCTGATTTCTCAATCCAGCTTCCTGATAATGTTGCCCTGGGAAGCAGCAGACGTGGCTCAAGTACCTGGGTCTTGGCCCTCACATGACACGTGGCAGATCCAGATTGAGCCCCCATCAGAGTCCCGGCGCACGCGCGTGTGTGTGTATGTGTGTGTGCGCGGGTGTGCCTCTCAGACTTGTTTAAAAGTCCATCATTCATGCCAGCGCCGCGGCTCACTAAGCTAATCCTCCGCCTTGCGGTGCCGGCACCCCGGGTTCTAGTCCCGGTCGGGGCGCCGGATTCTGTCCCGGTTGCTCCTCTTCCAAGCCAGCTCTCTGCTGTGGCCAGGGAGTGCAGTGGAGGATGGCCCAAGTCCTTGGGCCCTGCACCCCATGGGAGACCAGGATAAGTACCTGGCTCCTGCCATCAGATCAGCGCGGCGCGCCAGCCACAGCGCGCCAGCCGCGGCGGCCATTGGAGGGTGAACCAACGGCAAAGGAAGACCTTTCTCTCTGTCTCTGTCTCTCTCACTGTCCACTCTGCCTGTCAAAAAAAAAAAAAAAAAGTCCATCATTCAGAACATGTCAGGGACCTTTCTGAGGCTCATGTCCCCATTGGCTCTGAGTTTCCCAAGCTCTCCAATGAGCTGTGCATTCACAGCAGAGTGGTTGGGAACCCAGCCCCAGCCCAATTGCAACCTGCGAGGCTGCCCCTCCCCCCAGCCCCCACGGAAGCCCACAGAAGGAGCCAAGTCCTAAAGCCCCTGAAAAAGACTATCCTCTAGGAAAAACAACAACAAAACTGGAAATCCCACACTTTTGAAGCCAGTTTAATTAAACTGCTGGCTTCTTTCTGCAGTCCTAGAGGCACAGTCCCACCCGGCCCTGGGAGGCAGGTGTTGTCATGGGTCCTTGTCCACAGACCGGAGACTGAAGCCTGGGAGAGGCTGTCACCTGGTCCAAGCCACACACCTCAGGTGGCTGGACAGCTCCCTGCCCAGTCTCACCCTCCCATGTCTCCCTGCACAGGCTGCTTCCTGGGTGATTTTGAAATGCAGACAGGTGGAGATGAGCAAAGGGTTACCCTCCCCCCTGCCTTTACCAGCCCCCCCTCCCTAGAAGCAAGGAGAGCAGCAGAGTGGTCTCCTGCAGCCCAGGCAACAGGGATGGACGCTGGGCCGGGTCCCCCTGAGCCTGGCAAGGGCACAGGGGAAGGAGCCCCTGCAGAGACCCCACAGCATCAGGGGAAGGCAGCCCTCCCGTCTCTCCTGGCACCAGCTCCCACTCCCACATTCCTGGCTTCCGAGGAAGTCTTCCTCACCACGTTCAGACAGGCCCAGGACTGGGAGCTGTGAAACAGGAGGGTGAGGGCATAGTTTCAGCCCCGGGTCCCCATCAGAGCCCCCAGTCCCCATCAGCGTCCCCAGCCCAAGCTGAGGGGCAGATCCCGGTCTGGGTGTGGGAGAAGCACTTTTCCAGAGGTCTCGGGTTCATGATGAGCTGGGACCCAAGCAAGAACCAAGGAAAGG